TGAAATATTGCATTTGAAATATTTCATTCACATTGCTGCTAGTGTGAAACCCCTATAAATGAAAAAATTCCTTAATTAAAGTTTTTTGAAGATTTACAAAAAAATGAAAATCTAGATGCTTGTTTGTTTGGATGTTTGGAGATTAAAATATTGAACAAAAAGATGAATATTTTCTATACGTTCGTTTGTTCGTTTGTTTAACTTGCCACTTGAATTAGTGATTACATTTTTTCGTTTTGTTTTGTCTATTTTCTCGCTTTTTGTACCCAAAAATGAATGTAAATAGTAATAATAATCACCTTATGTAATTGAAAAATTTGTAATTCTACATTCCATTGTGTCTGTCTGTGGCTGTAATCAGCGAAAATCTAGTGTAGTAATTCTGAAATGTGAGCGAGCGAGAGAGAGAAAAGAAACGAAAGGACAGAATAGGAAATTGTCATTTTCATTGCATGAATTTCGTTTTGTTTCTTTTGGTTTTCGTTTTGTTTTTTGTTAAAGCTTCCAATTCCAAATGTGAAACAAATTAACCATTTGTTTAACCAGAAAAAAGACAGGCAGACAGAAGACGAAGAGAAAAAAAAACATTTATGTCATTCGCACGCACGAATCTTTCTGAAAGAAAGAACCAAAAGAAAATTATTCGCATTAAATACAATCGTAAATTGTGTGTGTGTGTGATCAGCAAGCAAGCAAAAGAAAATCAGGACAAAATTTTCTTCTTAAAAGAAAAGAAAAGGATTTTCTGTAAAAAAAAACTAAAACTAAAACAAAGCTGAACACTAAACACACACACACACACAAAGAATATTCTGAAAACTTTTTAATTCACAAGTTTTTTTTCATATTTTTTTTCAAAGGGAAAAACAACAACAACAACAAAAATCCACACATAAAGAATATTCATCATTTTATTTTGCGCTTCCAAATGAAGCTAAAAATTCATTTTTTTTTATTAGATGCCAAAAGTGTAAATGTGGAAATATCATATTTCATAATTTCTTTTTCTTCCACTTTTGAAACCATCGTGTTGGAATCCAAACGATGGGCCACATCATCCAATTAATTGGCATCTTTTTTCCTCTGTCCATATAAAGCGTACACACCATTTTCATTTCATTTTCATTTTCATTTTCGGTTTTTGAATATGTTGGCATATCGTTATAACGATAATAATGATAATTATCATCATTTTTTATGCATGCATTCAGTTTTTTTTCTCCATAAAATAAGACATTTATATGCCGCACTCAATCAACCTTTTTTTTCTTTCTTTTTTTTTCTGTAATTTTGAATGTCTTTTTTCTTGCTTTTTTCATTCTTGAGATTTCTCATCATTTGATTTTTTTTTTGATCAGATCATGTGATCACTGACACACAACGATAATGCATAAAAAATATATAAATTTTCAAAATAATTAAATATGACAGGTTTGACTCAGTTATGAAGAATATCAAGTGAGAGAGAATTCTCAGATGATGTGGATGATATTCATTTGCTCCATAATTTCTGCTGGAAAAAAGGAACATCATCTTTTTTTATTTTTTTTCTTACAGTAATTTCAAAAAAAAAGAGAGATAGAGATAGAGAGAACATATAAAAACAGAGTTGTCTTGTTTGCTTAACGAATTTGTCTATCATTCATTCATTCATTCAGTTTTTGGGTTGAATATTCGCCGTTTGAATGTTATGTTTTTTTTTATGGACAAACATTTTGCCAACCGAACCAAACCCTAAGAATTTGTTTTTTGGCCTATTCGGTCGGTTTGTTTATTTGGTCTATTTGGATAATTTTTTTTTCTCCGGGAATCGTTATAACCAAAAGTAAAGTTTTTTATTTATTTATTTGGTTAATAATAAAATGCTTATATATGCACAGAAACAGCAGAAACAGAAGCAGCAATTCAATTCATTTCAATTTAGAAAATATTTTGTTTTTTTTTATTAACCATTTACCACCATATGGTGACAATGACATTGATGATTATTATGATGATGATGATGGTTATATGATGATGATGATGGTCCACACGCAAAATACGTGACCATTTTTTTTTTGTTTTGTTTGCTGGTCATTTATTTTTATATTCACAAAAATAACAGCATTACTATAGGAGAAATTTTCATAACTTTTTTCTGGTTGTAGTAAATGTGTTTATCCATTTAGGCCAATGACCGTTCTATGATTTTATTATTTTATTATGTAATCTTTGGGTTTAATTTTTCTTTCATAATAATCATAATAATAATAATAATAATAATGTAATCCATTCATTCATTCAAATTTAGTAAAGAATTTTCGCTTTTTTTATTCTGGCATTTAAAACGAAAATGAAACGTGATGATGAAACAAATCATATTGGGTCTTACATACATAACGTGTGTGTGTGTGTGTGTGTGTGTGAATCATTTTGCCTTTAGGCAATTTGTAACATTGGAAATGTGTGTGTGTGTGTTAAATGTTTGTAAATGTTGTTTTATGGTCATTTTTCTGGTTTGGAAACCTAAATATTGTTTTTTGTTCTGGGTTTCCTATTTTGCATTTTTTAAAATGTTTACCAGAATGAAAAAGATGAAACTTGTTGGGACATTTTCAAAAGCCGTTTGTTTGGTTTGGTTTGTTCAACATTCAAATCTAATTTGCATCATCAATGATGGTAGTCCCGTATTGAATTTTTTTTTTTCATTTTGAAAATAGCCAACCAAAAAAAAAACTTGGAATATTCTAAACACACACACACACCATACAAACCAAACAAACAAACAAACAAACATACTTGACATTCGTATCTCGAAATGAACAATGCAAAAAAACACTCAATGTTTTTCATTGTTACTGTTGTTGTTATTTGATTTGATCCGTAAATAATTCTTCAACAACAACAACAAACAGAATCTCCAGGAAAAAAAAGATCAGAACCATTCGATGGTCCATCGAATCGAGTATCATCATCAATGTTTCTCTCTCGTTTGGTTTAGTTATTGGCCTAAACTATTATACAATCGAATGGTTTTTCTCTCTGGTTCTCTCTCTCTCTTTGGATTCCTGATGTATAATTCGATTACGATGATTTTTTGGCTTGCTTGCACACACACACACAATATACACATCAAGCATCACCAAAATTCCTGATAAAATAATGTTTTTTTTTTTGTTTTTTGTTAGATTTCCATTTTAGGTCATTTGTGCATATGTTTATAACGGATTATATTCAATGATGATGATGATTATGGCTATTTTATTTTTATGGACCGTTCATATATTCAATTCCAGAATGTAATGTAATGCAGAAAAAAACATGCAATCCTTTTCTCGAACAACAAACAACAAAAATAAGATTATCTTTTCTCGTATTGTCATTGATATAATTTGAAATTAGCTTCTTCAATGTTGTTGTTGATGATGTAACTTGGATGCAATATATTTTTCGGGAAATAAGAAAATGAAATTTGTATCTCGGAAAATATAGTGAATATAAAATGAAAATTGGATTATTATATCATTCGTTTCATTTTCAGTTTCCTAATCGAATATATTTTCTGTTTGGTTTGACCATCCAAAAAAGACGTGATAACAATGTTTATGCTATTCGCAAATGAAACATTTTTTTCTCTTTTTGAAGAATATTTTTTCTCCATTCGATTTCGATTTGGGATTCTTAATTTCATTTTCGTTTTTTCGTTTTTGACCAATAACAACAGCAAAACAACAAGTTGAAACATTCAACGGAAAGAATTTTCAATGGACAAAAATTCACTGTAATTTCATCAGGCATAGAGAGAATCGAATCTTTTCTCCCTCCCTCTCTGCTGATTTGATTTTTCAATCTTCAATAAAAGTTTCTAATCCAAATGGGAATTTATGGTTGTGAAAGGATGATTTTTTGATTTTTCATTGGGAAAATGAGTTTTTTTTTGCCACTAAAGAATTTGCATTTGCATCCTACATTCTGGACAATTTAAATTAAATTTTTTTTGGAATTTTCTATGGATCATTTTCTTTGAAATTTCAGAATTTCCAAAAAAATTTCTCAATTGTGGCCAAAGTTCAATGAATGAATGAATGCGATTGATTGAATTTTGAATGAAGAAAATAATTTACCGTTAAATTTCACCATTTCGATGAATGAATAAGAATTTATGGCCAAAAAGGAAAAGATGTTTTTTTTTATTCTTGGTTGTTTGGCTGTGTAAAGAAAAGTAGAAAATTTAAAATTCAACAATAGACGAAAAGGGGGAAGAAAAAAGTAAAAGTTTGTTTGTGATTCCCCCCCAGAACAATAACAACAACAAAAAAAAATGGCTTTCAAAGTTGGTTTTTGTTGTTCGATGCAAAAGAATGGATGTTTTTTCTTTTTCTTTTTTCTTTTTTTGAAAAAAAAAAACATTATTCTGAATCACAGATAAACAACATTTGTAAAGAATTTTCTTTATTTTTTTTTCTATGCAAAAAAATTGAAAAGAAAAACATCACTAGAGACTAGGAAAAAAATGGACAACCAAAACGGACGGTCAAAGATTCGATTTGAATTTTTGAAAAAAAATCCGAATCGAATTACATTATCATTGGAAACACATAGTTTTTCTCATAACTTTACCATAATAACTAGCAATGTTACCTTACACTTTCCTTTGAAGCCAAATTTAAGGGAATGATTTTTTTTAAGCGAAAAATAAACTTTCATTATAATTTGAAATTATCATGATCAGTTTTGTTTTGTTTAGTTTAGTTTTTCAAATAAAATATAAATTACATTCTTATCATCATTATCATTATATAATTGAATTTGCTTACAACTCTGCTTACTAAACACTACACTATTGATATTAGTCTGAAGAAAAATTTTCTGTTGTTGTTGTTGTTGTTAATAACAAAAACAAACAACACACCAAGGAAAAACAAACCTCCTACACACACTACACACCCACACACACAAATGGATGATTAAATTTTCTCAACCAATCAACCATTGAATCAATATGAATAACTGAATGAATGACCAAACAAACAAACAAACAAGAAAACGTTAAGAAAATAATTCTTGAATGAAGAAACGAAATGAAAAACAAACTCCTTTTCTTTTTGCTTTTTTGTTGCTTTGACCAAAAAGAAAAAGAAATTCTCTATTTGTTTCTCTCTCTCTCTTCGTTCGATTCTTATGTGTGGTTTTTTCTTTTTTCTTCTTTTTTTTCATAACAACAACAACAACAACAGCGACTTAATAAATTGAAAACAACAACAACAACAAAAAAGTATTTATGATGATGATGGTCCAAATAGATTAGTTGTTGTTGTCGTAGTTTTGTTGTTGTTGTTTTGTTGTTGTTGTTGTTGTTGATGATGTGTATAATGCAAATTTTCAATGAAAATTGAATGGAAAAACAAACAACAGAAAAACCCTGAATGAAAGTCATTCTCTCTTGTTCATTCTTTCGATGAATCGAAATGAATTGAGATGAAATGAATGAAAGGGAAAATTGAGAATTGATGTTGACAAAAGGCTTTTTTTGTTTTGTTGCTACCGAAAAAAAACCGATTGATCAATCAATCGATGATGATGGAAGAAAAATCCTCAGAAAATCTTAATCAAATTATACCACCATCATCATCAACCAAACCACCAAATAAGAATTTCTTTAAGAATTTTTCTCCTTCAACCAAAGAAACGTAACAAGATATTTGTATTTATTTTCTTCCTTTGAACTATCAAACTTTGATTTGGTAAAGAAGAATTCATTCATTCATTCAGTTTTTTTCATTGATAAAATAAACAAAAAAACCAAAATGAAAATCATTATAAAAAAAATAATTTTCCTTGTTTGTTTTTTGATGAGCGTTTCTGAAGTGGATTCCATCCATTCATTCTGGAATTTCCTTCCTGTTTCTTTTCTTTGCTTTTCTCTCTTTCACACCAGAATATTATGGTGTTTTCAGTTGTGGTTTCCGGTTCTGGTTTTTTCCACTTTATCATTTTATGCCCGTTCAATTTAGCTTTTTGAGTTTCTTTTTGATTCTAATTTACGTTTTTGCTTCTTTTTTCGTCTCTTTTCATCCCTTCATATAGGTATTATTAACAAAAGGAAATTATGGTGAACAATTTGATGAAATAACAATCGATCCAAATCAACCAATATTGGCCGATTTATTTGTTGATAATGAACAAAATCCACAATTTTTAATTGCAGCATCACCATATAAGGTTTGTTTTCAAAAATTTTTCCTTTTGTTTTTTTGCTTTTCGCTTTTTCCAAAATTCTGATTTGTGACATTTTTCATTCATGTTTTGAAATGAAAAATTGTCATTTTGAAATGACTGATTGAAACAAAAAACAGTGAAACAGTAAAAATCAATTAACAGAATAAAATAATTAGAAACGAAAAACGAAAATTAATAGAACACCAACAAGAAGAATAAATAAATTCAAACAAGCAAGTCAAATCGAGAAGAAAGTAGGAAAAAAAACAATATTGTCATGTCAAATGAATAAACCAAACATGATAAACAAGCAAAAATGAAACAAAACAAAATGAATTTTTCATTTTACATTTTACGGTTTTTGATTTGAATTAATTGAAAGCGTATGATTCGTTTGTTTTACGTTTTTTTCGTTTTGTGAAAAATTCAAAAAAAAAAAAATTGAATTAAATTAAATCCATTCGTATGTCGTTGTTGTTGTTGTTGTTTTAACGAAACAACAACAAACAGACAAACAGAATTTAAAATGACATGTAACATACAATGAAGAATTTCCGATTCTGTGTTTTATTTTGTTTTGTTTTGTTTGTTTGTTTGTGTTTCTAATTAATATTTTTGTTTTCTCGTTTGCTTCTGTTTCTCTGAATGTTTTCGTATGCATTTTTAATCAATTTTTTCATTTTTTTTTTTTTTTGGCGAAAAATTTCACATTTTTTTCCAACCATGTTGTTAATTAGCATAATGTTTTTTTATCCGTAGTGGAAGAAATAGATTTTTTTCGTTTCGGTTCGGGCACAGGATTACAAGATGATGATATGATGATGAACTTATTCTTGGTCCAAAAAAAATTGAAAAGAGGTCAATAGAAAGTATCCGAAAAACAAAAACGCTAAAAATACCTTGTACACGTGTAAAATGATAAACAAACTGAATTTTCCAACGAAATTCAATAGTCTATTGTTGTTGTTGTTGTTGTTGTTTGCTTCAAAGAATCAAATTTCCAAACAGTTTTTTATTTTATTTTCATCGAAGAAAAGATAATCATCATCGAAAGAAAGAAGGAAACAATGATTGATTCTTGCTTCAAGCATACAAAATATCCGTTTTTTCTTTCATAGGCTAACACCATTCTCATAAATCATCAATTGTGTGAAACTTGAATAGAAAATTGGAAAATGAAAAAGTTTTTTTTTCGAAAATTGATTCATTGATAACGTTAATATTTTTCTTTTGTTGTTCATCGATTTTTTTGATCTTATCTCATCTGATTTCTGATGATCTAATGTCATCACATTATTTTGTTATTCAATGATGATTCATAATCCTTGAAATAAAAAAAAGGAATTTTTTTTTCACGAAAATTCTTGCAGAATTTCACTGGTTTTTTTTTGCAGAAAAACATCCGGAAATGGATAGTGATTCTGGCGAAATGAAAAAATATTGCGTGCTTTTTTTCAAAGCGAACAATAATCATCATTATTCATGATTTATACGCATTTTTTTTTGATTAACTTTTTTTCATTTTGCAAAAAAAAGAGATAAACCAACCAGCCACCAACAAAGAAAAAATGATTAGAATTCAAAAATTCCAACACCACCATCAGCATATGCGATGAATTCAAAATGGAATTTGCATGTTTTCACGAGAAACAGAATACAAAAAACGGCTATAAACACGCAATCAGCGACACTGCGGGTTATTATGGATTTTGACCACCACCGTGTTTTCCAATTTTCATTTGGAAATTTTCTTCGTTTGGTTGTTTCATTAATTTCATCAATCTCATCATAGATCATCGTCATCGAATCCCAAGTTGATTCGAAAAACTTGCAAAAGTCGAATGACAAACAGGAAAAACCACAGAATTTTTGTCTGAAAACTTTCTGGTTGGTCAAACGATGATGATGATGATGATGATTGACAATGATTGAATAACAGTGTTTTTCAAACTTTCAAACCCATAGATTCGATTGAATGAATTGTCAATTGAAAAAAATTCAAATCAAAATCACAAGAGAATTTTTCGATGATGATCTTTATGTAGTGATGATGTGTGGTGTGGTGGTACACTTGATTTCATTTCAATCACTGACCACCACCGCACACTCTTCACTTTTTTAGTGTCAAAAAATTCATTGATTCATTTGAGTCTACAGCTACAAACTGAATAAGTACGTGTGGCGTGTGTGTGACAGGTCATCCGGATTTTTTTGATTTTTTGTAATTCTTGATTCCCGACCCCGAAAAAAATGAAAAGAATTCTTTTCACTTTTCAATTGTTTCAATTGAAATGAATTTTGATTGAACAAATTTTTTTTCTGTGTGTTTGTCACGATTGAATGATTCTAATGATTTTCAATCAATTTTTTTGTTTTGTTTTTTGATTTAATTCATTTTGACATTTATTTGATCATCAGCAGACGAAAAATATTAATCAAAATCATAAATTTCAGAAAAATTTTCTTGGAAATTTCCCGTCAATTCCCGGAAAAATTCCCTCGAATTGAAAAAATCCAATTTTCAAGTCATAATGACATCATCATTATTATCAATAGCCACTTATGAATCATTCATAAAATGAATTTTTATTTCTCTTTTTCTTTCGTTCTCATAAAATGATTCCCGAAACTTTTCTTCAATGATAATGATGATGATGATCATGATGAACATTATTATGGTAATATTCCCGAAAGAAAAGCAAAAAGGAATTTGCTTTCGGGTATTTTTTTTTCTTCCCAGTTTTTTTTCATATAACGATAACCACAAAGGTTTCCGGTTTGGTCAATTAAACACACACAGAAGAGAAACCGAGAGAAAACGAAACATTCAAATTCGGGTAAAAAGTAAACATAGAATCATTTCAACAAACCGAAAAGAGAGATAAATTCCTGAATATTCTGGTTATTTTTCAAGAATTTTTGAAAATAAAAAAATAACTGTGTTTCTATGAATGTTCAGACAACAACAGCAACCCAAACAAAATGAAAAACTTTTTTTTTGAATTTGTTGTTTGTTTGTCATCCATACACGCACTTTTTCCATCAGAAATTGATTCCCGAAAAATTCATATTTGTTGTTGTTGTTGTTGTTTTGGTTGTTCAATTTCAAGTTTTTTTTTGTTCTGTTGCTGGATCATGTTTTAGAATCGTTTCATTGACGACTAGAAATGAAAAAGAAGAAGAATTTTCGATTCTGTGAAACATTTTATTCGATCGGTTTGATGTTTTTTTTTTTTTTTTTGCTTTTGCTTCGTTTCATCGTCAATGTCGTGATGATGATGATGATGATCGTCGTAGTTTAAAGTAGTTTTTTTTCGCTGGTTGGTTGTATCATTCATATCCATCATCATCATCATCAATCGATCGATTTATGGCTTGTTGTAAAAACGAACGAACGAACGACATGAATTTTTTTTTTTGAAAAGAATTTAAATAAAATTCCTAAAAAGGAATCCAAAAAGAATCCAAAGAAAAGATGAAAATTGAATGAGTGTAGAGAATCTTATTTCCAAGTAAAAATGAAATTCTTATCTCTCTTCGTTTCAACATTGGACAAGTTTCTTTTTCGTTTTTGGATGTGTTTTTTTAACACCAGCCAGCCAGCCAAAAAAAATCGATTTTTATGATTATTATTATCCGCATATAAGTGTTTTGATGTACGACTATAAACACCCCCAAAAAAACATCCCTTTCGAGTAAAAATGAATGATCAAAATGCTGTCATTTTGTCAACCATGTTGCTGTTGTTGGAAATTCTCAATGAAATGTCAATTTTTTTTTTTGTTTTGTTGGCCATAATTAGCTTATTCTATGCAAAATTTTTTAAAAATTTTTCTTTTTCTTTCCCATTTTTTTTCATTTTAGGTGGTAAAATTACCAATAGAAACATGTATACAACATAATACCTGTGATCAATGTTTACAGGCACGTAATCCATATTGTGGTTGGTGTTCATTACAGAAAAGATGTACAATCAAATCTGAATGTTTATATTCAAATGATAATAATCAAAATCATCAAAATTATCAAATGAAAAAATCAAATACAAATGATAATAAACATTATTCAATAATGGATCAAAAATCAGTATTTTCAACACCACGTTGGCTTTCATTAGAAACATCACAATGTATTGATTTTCAAGCAATTAAACCTGAATTTATATCTATAAATTTACTTGCACCGGTAAGTTTTTTTTCATTTATTTTTGTTTAACACTACCACCGCTATCAATCAACCAACCAACCAAACAACCAAAAAAATTTCACGGATCAAATCATTGATGATGTTCAATGATTCATTCAAGCAAGCAAAAAACCGAAGAAACAATGACAATTATAAACCCCAAATTGAATTTCTTTCCCTTTGTTTGGTTTGGACCCCGAAAAAAGAAATATACAGGCTTTATAATTGATTTTTTTTTTCATTTGCCGTTAATATTTGTTTGTTTTAATTAAAATTTTTCATTTCATTTTGTTTTCTTTTGTTTTGTTTTTTTTTTGTTTAAATATATAAAAAGGTCGAGCTTATTATCAATCAATTACCTCAATTGCCTTATGGTGCAAATTATCTTTGTATATTTGAACAACAAGGACAACCAATACAAGCAATTGTTACACGTAATGGTCTTATTTGTCAAACACCACCAATACATTTACGTCCAAAAATACCTAATGGTTATGATCATATTAATATTGATGTTTCAGTACGTAGTAGTGAAACTGATACTGATTTTATACATCGTTCATTTATTTATTTTGATTGTTCATTACATAAATCGTAAGTAACCAAAAAATTTTCATTTTTCTTCATCTTTTTTGCTTCAAAATAAATTGAGAATTCTAAGGGAAAAATGGAAAAATTGAAAAATTGAAGGGAAAGTAGATAAAATTAAGGATTCTGAGGATTTTGGCACACAGAGAATAATTTGATTATTTATGATTAAATGAAACAAAAAAAAACGAAGCAAAAAACGAAAATTGAATCCATTTCAATCAGAAAAAGAATCCAAAATGAATGATTCAATTATAGCTGGATTTTTTCACATTTTTCTTTTCACATTTTACACTTTCTGTTTGCTACCGAAATATTGATCAATATTTTTTTTCTGGCACTTTTTCTTGTAACATTTTCTTGGAAATTTGTTCATTGATTTTTTTTTTAGTTGAAATTTATCTTTCTCTGTATTAGTGCGAAAATTGAAGAAATAAATTCATTTCAGTTTTTGAGAAAGATTTTACTTGGATCATATTTTTTCCATTTGATGATGATTGTTTCAGAAAACTCACAGAATTCATAATTAATATTTTTTTCGATTCTTATTTTCACTTTCATTTTTTGATTTAACCCTTCTCCCACCACCACCCTGTTCAAAAAAAAGATGTAAATCATGTGTAACTAGTGCCTGGGATTGTAATTGGTGTATGCATGAAAATCTTTGTACATTTAATACATCATTATGTACACGACGTATGATTGTTGGTGAAAATGTAAGTTTATCATTTTCTTTCTTTCTCTCTCACTCTCTTAAATGATGATAATCACTTTATTCACTTTTTAAAATATTGATTTTTTTCCATTTTATTGATGTCAATTTTACTACCAAATGGATGGATTGGAAATTTTCAATGCAGAGTGCACAAAATTCATTGATAAAAGGTGTACAACATTGTCCATCATTCAATATTGAACAAGAAATTATTATACCCGATGGTCAACGACGTGAATTAACTATTGAAATTCGTAATCTTATACCATTAAATGATCAATTTCAATGTATTATTGAAATTGAACAAGCAAAAGAACGTGTACAAGCACGTATTAGTGATAATAAAATTATTTGTAATGAATTAATGGTAAGTTGAACGAAACAAATATTCAATATTTACACTTAGCTTAAATGGATTGATTGATTGATTGATTGATGATTTGTTGAAATTTTGGATTAAAAAAAAAATTCTCTGTATTTTTTTTCACTCAATTTTCATTCTTTCTTTAGTTATCATATCAAGAAGAAATTGGCCAACAACGTGCTTCATTAACAGTATTATTGAATAGTGACACATTTATTGATCGTACAAATTGTATGTTTGTTTACTTTTCTCTTATTCACATTTGAAACATTTTGAAAAAATTAATTAAAATTTATTTTTTTTGTTTACTTTCATCGTTTTTTATCCAATCTAAAGTTACAATATATAAATGTCAATATTTAGGAGCATATGCAGGACGTGCTGATTGTTCACTTTGTCAAACACGTGATAATAAATTTGGTTGTGTTTGGTGTCAAAATCAATGTTTATATAATGATCAATGTTTAGATTCACCAGTCATTAATTCTTGTCCACCACCACGTATTGATTATGTAAATATTTTTTGATTCAATATTTTTTGATCATTTTGAAATTTGAACTAACTATAAATTTTCTTTCTCTTTTCAAAAAGATACATCCAATATCAGGTCCAATTGAAGGTGGTACATTAGTATCAATAGAAGGTTCAAATCTTGGTTCATCATTTGATGAAATAAAAGATCGTATATCAATTGGTGGTATACCATGTCGTCCAATTAAATATAATATATCAATACGTATTGTATGTCGTACCGGACAAAGTTTAATTGGTCCACAATCAGCATTAGTTATTATTGGTAATCGTGCTGGTGTTACACGTGCACAGGAAAAATTTCAATATAAAGTAAGTTTAACCAAAACACAAAAAAATCCAAAAAAAGAAACCAGAAAAAAATCTACTCCATTTGTCGGACACACACACACACATTATCATTTTTAGCTAATTTTTTTTATTGAAAAAATTCCCAAGTAATTTGTAATTTATAAATGTAATGTGTGTGCGTTTGTCAGTAATTCACCATAATATTAACATTATTACAATGAATTTACATGGAAAAAAAACTTTTCTCTTTTCCTTTCTCTTCTTCTTTTGTTTTTATTATTATTATTATTATTCAATGATGTTTTTCTCTTCGTTTACTTTCTTTTGTTTTACTTTCATTTTCATTCGTTTGTGTGTGTGCGGGTAATTGAATAGAATCGGTAACATATTGAATTTATTATTATTTTTTATGTTTCAGCAGAAAATAATATTATGCCTCCTGTATCTTACATGTTTTTTTTCTAACCAAAAAATCATCATTATTATGCAATAAACCAAACCAAGAATTTCTATTTTTACAAAGTGAGAATGCTCAAACGATTAAAAATACATTCTGTGTGTCTGTGTTTGAAACAATATCGATTGACCGGATTCGTTATCCATGAGAGAAACAAAACAAAACAAAAGCAGAAAAAACAAAGCGAAAAACATTCATTTTAATTGCACAGATAATTGTATATGTGTTTACTATCATCATATTGAAAATTCCACCAAAAAAAACAAAAGAAAAGAAAATGAAGGCCACCATCATCAGAAAAGGAAAACCCTAAGATGTTGACCAAAAATTCTCATGTTCAACGGTTTTTTTTCTTGTGTTCTTTATGTTCCAAACGAACAAAAACAAGATGACATTATTCTTTTTTTTTTTGTTTAATAAAAATCTATCCAAGCCAAAAAAACAATCAAAATCATCATGGTCGTCTGTCGATTACATGTAATTTTTTTTGCGAATAGAAATAATAACCAAACATAAGAAGAAATCAGAAGAAAAACTAATTTCAGTTTCAACACCAAAATTATTATTATTATTATTAGTTTTTTTTGTTCTATTTCTATCTATGTTTATCTATGTTTGTCGAAATAGAATCGATTCGATAAATATATATATGATTATCTAATCGATTCTATCAAATACACACACACACACACATTGAAAGATTTGGAAAATTGAATTGAATTGAATTTCGGATCACCGGATCGATTTTTTTCCGATGATTATGATCATATCGGTTTTTTTTTGTTGAAATGACCATTGCTTTTCCCGGGTTTGTTTTGTTTGTTTGTTTGTTTGGTTCAATTTCATTTTGGCATTTGACATTTTTTTTGAAAGAAATTGTCGAAACCAAGGAGAAAAAATTTCCTTGTTATTTCGAATCATCATGTAATTATTATCATGATAATTTCTTTAAGAAATCAGGAAGAAAAACAATCTCGACAAATGTCTGTTTATGACAGTAGTGTCTTTTCAATAGAAATTATTTTTGAATAATTTCTTTTGATTTCTACAGAATGTCAATCGACTTCTATCGTTTTTCAGCGAAATAAATTTTTCTTTTTCTTCATTTGAAATCGATTCTGGTACGAGAGGAAAAAATTTTGAATTCTAATTAGGATTTTTTTTCTTTTTCTGCTTCTTCTTGATTTATTTATTGACAATTCCTAATTGCCATGCACGTACATTTTATTATGGAAAAATGTTTTTTTTATTGCAATTTCATATAAATTATACTTGGAAAATGATGATGATGATAATAATAATTGAAAATCGATTGATTTTCTTTTGCTAGAAGCCAATGAAATATATAATGTCCACAATGAATTTTTTTTGGGTTTTTGTGATGGGTGTATAGCCATACATCATTTTATCGTTTTTTATGATTTTAACATACACACTTTAATACCGTTATTTCGGGGTTATGATGATAGCGAAAACAAAAAAAAAACAACAAATAATAATAATGATAATTGTTATATGTATACACCAGATGACGCAAATGTTCATTTTTTTTTTGGTCATAAAAATAATCATCAACCTAACCTCACTGAACTATGAATCATACCCATAGCCATAGTCATAGTCATCAACCTAACCTCACTCAACTATGAATTACAGTCAATGTCTAAAAACGTGAAAATAAGGTAAAATTAATAATGGTCAATTTATTTTCTGGTTTTTTTTTCTTTTCAATTTTCTCCGACCAAATTTATTATTATTATTTATTGGCCATTATCCCGAATCTCTCGAATCGCATTAATTTTGATTGATTTTAATTAAATTTAATTTGTTCCAATTTCATTTCGTCCGAAAATCGTTCAAAAAAAAGGAAAAGAAAAAGACTACTGCTACCACTACCAGCATAACAACATTTTTTTTATTCGATTTAATCATTTTTTGTCCAGATTGAATCTTTATTGCTGTTGTTGTGGGCAATAAGAATTATTATTACCATATATGTTTCTCATCTGGGAGATCATTGACCATAATCATCATCATCAAAATGCCCTCATAAATTCATCTAAATCATTCTGCTAATGATGATGATGATGATGATGAGAATAATTAATTTCATAATAAACTGATGATGATGACAGCCAGCAATCCATTTCATCATCATCATTTCAATTAGGAAATTAACCATCATCCTTTCTTTTTTTTTTACTACCATAACCACCGCTACAATTATGATTCAAAAAACAATAAAAATATAGTGAAAAATGATAACCATCAATTTTTTTTGTTTTGGTTTGTAAAAATGAAAAAACCAAAGACTATTTGAAGAATGAAATAATAAAAACGAAAAGCGAAAAACGAAAAAAAATCCCGTAGAGTTAGTTGCACCAAAATGATATGATACGAATTTGCATATAAAGACAATTAGTCGAATGAATAAATGAATGAATGAATAATTTGCCTATTTCTTTTTATGGATTTTCATAAATGCAGGTAGCTTGTATTTTGTTTTTTTGGTTGAAAATCTAAAAATGAAAAAATGAAAAACGCAAAAAAGGGATGACCATATTACAGAGAGAAAAAGCAAAACTTTTAATATCTTAATCAAAAAAATGATGGATTTTTTCAGTTTCTTTTGGAATGATTATTACGCAATTTTCCTAAATTTGAAATTAGTTTTTTTTTTGTAGAAAAACTTGAGATGATAATGATGATTGAATTGAATTGATTGTCAAATTATCCGTTATTTTTCTTCTGGGAATTTTGACAGGTTCAAATTACATTCAAAAAATTATTTGTTTACTTTTGTTTCTCTATGATTGATTTCGGATGAAATTTGATAGTTTTTTTTCGTTGTTGATGATGATTATGATGGGTTTCAATTTTCATTAATGTTTGTTTTTTTCTCTCCATTCATTTATTTTCAATCATTATAGATAATTGAATTGATTGATGTAAATCCAAAAATTGGTCCACAATCCGGTGGTACACGTATTTATTTAAGTGGAAAAAATTTAAATATTGGTTCAAATGTAGCAATATATTTAGATGATTTACCTTGCCATGTTGAACGGTATGTGTTGATGATGATTTTGTCGTTGAAAAATTTCTAACTGTTATTTGTTTTTCACCCTTTCCGAAACACCAAAACATATATAGATCATTGGCAAGTAGCTATCAAATGAGCTGTCGTACAAGTGCAGCACCATATTCATCATATGTTGTAACACGTTTAATATTAATGATTGATGGTGCTAATTATACATTAGCAAATCCATTTCTTTATACTGCTGATCCATCGATTGATCATATTGAACCATTACAAAGTTTTTTTTCCGGTGGACGTTTGATAACCGTAATTGGTTCACAATTTACATCCATTCAACAACCAAGAATGTTGGTATTTGTACCACGAACATTATCATCATCAACATCAAATAATCAACAACAACAACAACAAATTAAAAATCATTATCCAACAATATGGCCACCATATCAACAACAACAACATAATAATAATCGACAATCAATAAATCATCATCGACAACAACAACAACAAACAAAAATTAATAATGATCCAAATCAATTTGATTTAAATATTGATAATAATCGTTTAATAAATGAATCATTATGTATTGTATTATCATCAATAAAAATGTTATGTCAATCACCGATGATAAATGGTGATTTACAATTATTAGCAAGTAATCTAAGTAGTCAAACCAAGCAAAATCATAATCGTGATAATCATAATCAACAACGTAATCATAATAATTCAACATTACATCATATACCGAATCAAATTTATTTACAAATTGGTTTCATAATGGATAATACAATATCAACATTGGAATTAGATCAATATTATCCACAATTAGATTCAAATATACTTTATGTATCGGATCCAATTATTTATTCAGTAAATAATGGACATGGAAAATCAATTATAATTAATGATAATCGTATTAATAATGATGGTATTAATAATAATGGTGATAATATATTACCATTTAATGGTGATGTTATTGTTATTGAAGGTGAAAATTTAGCTGTTCTGTTATTATCTGAATATGAACTGAATGTTACAATCGGACAACAACGTTGTAATTTAACATCGGTTAATATGCGACAAATCATATGTCAACCACCAATTTATCCACCACCCTCACCAACTGATGAATTAGGACGAAGAAATTCAATTGAATTACCGGCTATTGTATTGAAGATTGGTAATATGCGTCGTCATTTAGGTTATCTACATTATTCTGATTATTTTTATGATAATTTTAATGGTCAAACAAATAATAATAATGATGATTCATCAAGATTTTATCATCAAAATCATCCACCATTTAATAATAATAATAATTATGGTCAACATTTTGAAACAATTAATAATCAATCAATAAATTTAGAATTATTAATTGTAATTTCAATTATAATCGGTACAATATTAACAATAATATCGATAATTATTTTGGCTGCTTATAAACATAAAACCAATGAAGCAGAACGTGAATATAAACGTATACAATTACAAATGGATACATTGGAAAATAATGTTCGTTCAGAATGTAAACAAGCATTTGCTGAATTACAAACAGATATTTTACAAGCAAATGGCCTATTAAGTGTTGATGATTTACCAAAAATTTCATTACCAATGCATGATGAACGAACATTTTTATTACGAATGTTTTTTGCATCTGGTACACCATGGCCATCGTCACCATTATCATCTTCAGATCTTTGTAAAGATAATTTTGGTTTAAATGATGGTAGTAATCAACAATCATTAATAATCAATAATATTCAACAATTAAAATATAATTATCTTTATCAAATGTTTTGGTATTGTTCACCTTATTTTAATATTAATAATAATAATGATAATGATAATGGTGATAATAATAATGCTGAAAAATTACAAAATATTAATCAACAATCATTTTTAATAAAATCAATGAATAATAATAATGATTTAAATTATCATTATCCTACAAATGGATCATTACAACAACCTGTTGAAAATTTTTATACTATTAATCGATCAATGATTATGAAATCGATGGCTGATAATAATCAACAACAACAACAACGACCATCGATTATAATCGAACAATTTGAACAATTATTATTAAATCAAAAATTTTTATTAATATTAATCAATACATTAGAACAACAAACAAAAACATTTTCAATAAATGATCGTTTACATTTTGCATCATTATTAACGATAACATTATTAGATCGTATGGAATATTCATTTGATATAATGAGAAAATTATTATCAAAATTAATTGATCGTTTTTCATTGAATAAACACCAACAACAACAACAACAACATTCAAATCAATTAATAAAATATAATGATAGTATTGTTGAAAAAATGCTTATCGATTGGTTATCAATTTGCCTGTATAAATATGCACGTGAAATATCATCTGGTCCATTATTTTTATTATTTTCAGCTATTAAACATCAAATTGATAAAGGACCAGTTGATTTTGTTACTGGTAATTCAAGGTTAGTAAACTCATTATTTTTATTATTATTTTTTGTCACTAAATTAATATTTGAAAACACCCACACATATTTTTAGATATACATTATCGGAAGAAAAATTATTACGCGAACAAATTGATTATAAAACATTGACTGTAAATATATTTTTGGATGAAAAATTACAACAAACATTACCGCCAATTATATCGATTAATAATAATAATAATAATCATCGTTCATCAATATCAGATCGATATTCTACAATACAAAATTGTCGTACTGCTACCATTAATAATAAACATCGTCGAGGAATAATAACGGGACAACAACAACAATCATCATCAACAACAACACTTCGATCAATCAATAATCGTATGGGAAAAAAATCAATGGATTATCATCATCATCAAATTGGTAATGATCATCAATCGATTGCCAATATGGTTGAAGATAATAATACCACCACTACAAACACTACTATTACACCGAATAGTACACCAATTAATTCTGATGATTTTAATCTAAGTAATAACGGTCGCAGTGGTAGTGGTAGTGGAAGTGGAAGTGGTGATCCAACAAGCAATTCTACAGATATAATTATCGATAATAATAAATTAGATGATAATAATAATGATAATAATGGTTATACCTGTCGAATATTAGATTGTGATACAATAACACAGGTAAAAATGAAAATTATTGATACATTATATCGTTTTGTACCGAATGTTGACCGGCCATCTGTAAATGATTTACAATTATATTGGAAAAGTTTAAAACCAAAACAACAACAACAAACATCGACAACATCATCCACTTCATCATCAAATCCTACAAATAATATATTACGACCAACACCACTAATAAATAATAACGGTGGTGATTATAATGGTGGAACTGAAGCAAGTTTTAATAGTAGTGATCATTCACAAACAATATTACGTAATCAATCATCAATAACATATCAAGATGTTTATGGTGTTGCATCATTAATGTCAAAAACGGATGCAGATAAAATTTATAATGCTAGTCGTCGTAGTGATACAATATCATTAGAAATGATAGATATTTTATTAGATGATTATGATCATTCTACACAGATTTTAACAGCAAATGAAACAATTTGGAGACGTTTAAATACAATATCACATTATGGTATAATGGATGGTGCTATTTTTTATCTTTGTTTACGTTCATCATCATCATTATTATCATCATCCGCATCGCCAACAACAACAACATCAACAAAATCATCATCATCATATAATGGTGATGAAAACGTCAAACATGTTAATAATCCAATTGTAAATAATCAATCAAAATATCGTTATCAATCAAATATTTATAATCAAGATCAAATTATTAGTAATAATATTCATGGTGGTAATGGTGGTGATATTTATAATGGTAATAATTCAATCGCAAATGATGATAATACTGAATTTCATCTTTATGAACAAATACCAGCAGATAGAAATTGGAATAATAATCATCAAGATTCTTCATTATATGACAGTGGTAATGGTGGTACAATTACAAACGATAATAATAATTTTATTTATAATAATAATTCACAAATATCATCATCATCATCATTACGTAGAAGACAGTTACCGGCAACATCAATGATGATTAATTATAATCATTATAATGAATTACCGCAACAACAATATGAACCATATATTTATCAACAACAACAACGACCATTATCATCAATATTTCATAATAATCAAGATGAAATCTATGGATTAGCTAATCATACAAATCAATCATTTATCAATCAACCAACAAAATTATTATTACAAACAAATAATCAATCATCATCATCAACATATCGATTAAATTCAATTACAATGAATAATCGATCATTTGCACGTAATGTTTATGATCGTCTTAGTTTATTTATGAAAGGATCATCATCAACAACAAAGCGACGTCGACAACAACAAAGACGCATAAATCATCATACTTTACATAATAATAATAATAATCGTATTTTAACTAATCAATCAAAACGTTTTATTAATAATAATCAAAATGATAATGATGAACAACATAATATTTGGCATCTAGTTAAACCATCTAGTTTAATTAATGATTGTATTATTGGTGTTTCTGGTGGTAATTTTCTTTATAATAATCATAATGATGGTAAAAATCGTTATAATTTACGTACAATGCGTCAAAGACGTGCATTACGACGACGACAACAACAACAACAGAAACCATTTTCATCATTAACACCAGCGATGTCAACAATAACGAATGCCGGTAAACAGTCATCGCAATTGTCAGCAGCGGCTGCAGCAGCTGCTGCTGCATTATCAGCATCGCAAATTACACTGGATAGACATAATAAACCGAATTTTAATAATTCAATATCGATGAATTCTTTGGCTTTAAAATCATCATTACAAACAATAACAACAACAACAATATCATCATCAACAACAACAACAACATCGACAACAACAACAATAGCCAATGATAATAATTCACCATTATCAATGGCATCATCATTATTAGCATCAATATTTTGTCCAAATTTACAACAACAACAACAACAACATTTACAATTAAATTCATCAATATCAACATATCTAATCAATCGTTCAATACCTGAAATTTATTTAACACGTTTATTAACAACAAAAGGAATAATACAACAATATATTGATGATTTTTTCAATACAATATTTACAGTTAATGAACATTTACCAATTGCAATCAAATGGTTATTTGATTTTTTTGATCAAGAAGCTATGAAAAATTCAATTAATAATCCAGATACATTAATTTCATGGAAAAATAACAGGTAAGAATAATACAGAATAATTAACTAATTGATTAATTGATTTTTTTAAAAACAAAAATATAGTTTAATATTACGATTTTGGGTTACAATATTACGTATGCCAGAAATATTATTCGATATACAAAGTAATATTAGTATCGATATTTGTTTGGATATTTTGGCAAAAAATCTTATCGATACATGTGAAACGAATTTAATCATCAATAATGATAATGTTGGTGGTGGTGTAAATTGTTCCATTGGTGTTAACAACAACAACAACTTGGCTAACCAAAACAACAACAACAATTCAACATTGTTAGGAAAATTATCAAATAATAATAATTCGTCAACAAATAAATTATTAAATACACGCGATTTAATAAATTATCAACAAATTATAAATCAATATTATAATGATATTTCATTATTACCATCTATTCAAGAAAGTGATATTATTGCCTATATGAAAGATGTATCAAAGGTAACTAATATAAAATTATTTATAAATAACTTTTATTAACTAAATTCATTAATTACTTTTTTTATAATTATAGACATTTGAAGGAAAGATACAAAAAGAAAAATCATTAGAACAATTATTAACATATTGTATACAATATAAAGATGAAATATTTCAATCATTATCGAATGATCAATTAACACAACAAGAACATTTACATTTAAAATTTGAAACAATTATTTATGCTGCAATGGCAACTAATCATTATCATCATCCGCAACAATCGCAATCGCAATATGGCCATCATCATTTTCAACAACAACAATCGCAACAACAACGTACCAATGGAATATCTCGTGTTTGAGAAACGAAAATGATCGATCGAATTAACCCTTTTCGATCCATTGAATTATTGACAATTTTCATTTCTTCTTGTAAATTTGTAAATTATTATTTTTTTGTAATTTTGTTGATTTTTATTTTGATGAACAAATCTTTTAACAAAAAAAAAAATTTTAAATTATCTTATTTTTTTCCCGACTTTCTTTCTGTTGTAAATAATTTCAATTACAATCTTGTAAAACAAAAAAAAAATTATAATTATAATTTTTGCTGTTTTTGTAAATCTTTGTGTCTTTATAAATACTTTTTTCTTCTTTCTTTTTTTTTCTAAACACTTTTACAAAAACCCGTGTCTTATAATTTGAAACCAAAACTAAAATAAACCATTAAAAACATATAAATAAAAATCAAGATGAAATTTTTCTTTGTGTTTTTTTTGATGGGTGGTTATCCAGCATCACAATGATGTTTTGAAATGCGGAAAATGAATTTCGATTGAAAAATGTTTTTCTTTCTTCTTTATTGAGAAAGCAGGAAGCATTGATTTTAGATTTTTTTTATTAAACCTCCATTATCAAATAATAATCGATTGATTGATATCAATATCGATCGATTGATTTGGATATTTTCTTATTTTTCTTTTTGGTTTGGACTTGCTGCTACATTGATTGTCAACCCGAGCAGCCAAAAATATTCAATATTGGCCTACATTCTATATTGGTTTTTTTTGTTCCTTGATTTAATCAATTGATAAACATCGTTTATGAATTTGATTGAAACATTGAAAAAGAATTAAGACATAACATATGATTGATATTCCTATACTGTGTTAAATAACACAGCAAAAAGTATTTTTCTTTCTTTCTTTGCTTTATTCAGATTCGAAAGATTTACGTAAGAAACAAAAATTACCAAAAGAGAAATAAAAAGCTATGAAGCACATAGTGAAAAACACGAAAAAAAAGCATGTGACTTTTTTGTGTTTGAATATAAGCATCAAGCAAGCAGAAAGGCAAGAGAGAGAGAGAGAGAGAGAGAGAATAACATCTTTTTTTTTCTTTCATTTTGGCTATGTTTTTCAGCTGGAAAAGTTATTGAGTTTGAAACAGCAAAACAAAACAAAAAATGTAAATAACCAAAACCAGTCTAAACAATAACAACAACAACAAAAACACGTGAATGGAGACAATCGAATAATATTTCTGGTTTTTTGTTTTGTTTTTGTGTGTTTGTGTGGGGTTATATTATAAACACTCAGAACATAGCATGAAAATTCTTTCATTCTCCATTCCAGACAGTTAGTTATAACCAATCAGTCATTCCAGCCAGCCAGCCAGTCATTCAGGCCAAATATATGTGATACTCATTATCAACAACAGAAAACGAAAAAACAAAAAACAAAACAAAAAAGTTCATATTCGTCGTAGCTTACATTTATTATATCAATGTATCTCTCCATATATCCCGCCATATCATCATTCACATCCACAAATATTGCCAAAAACAAGCCAGACAAGGCCTGTTATATAAAAAGTTTTTTTGCTTTTTGCTTTTTGCTTTCTCCAGTTGTTGTTGTTGTTGTTGGATGATGCCCATAAAAAAAGTCTCTCTCACTGTGTGTGTGTTATTTTCAATCTGCTACATACATGCTGTATCCAAATGTAAATTTTCTTTTCGTTTTTTCGTTTTTTTTAATTGATAAAAGTTTGTGTATTTTTCTGACCAAAATCAAATCGAATCAAAAATCAAATAAGCAACAAGCATATGTTGATAGAGCAAACTCGAAACAAATATTGGAATGGTTATCTTCTGGTTTGTTTGGTGTTTGGTGTGCGTGTGTGTGAATGACGACATTAACGACGACGACGACGATTTATTTGACGCAATCCATTTGAAAAAAAACCTAACCAAAACCGAAAAAACGCAAGTGTGAAAATTGTTTTTCCCAGTTAGTTAGTTAGTTAGTAACTTGTTTTTTGTGTGCATACATCATTTCAGTGTTTTGCATCATATTTATTCATCAACACGACACACACACATATGAAAATATATTTACCGCCATTTGATGAATATTTAAATTGAATGTTTTTTTTTTGTTGTTCGTGTTTCATCATCGAATTTATTCATTCAAGTAATGTATCATTTTGTTTGTCAATCGATTTTCAAATTTGTCAGAATGAATGTTTTGCTTTGTTTTCATTTTGTTTTGCTTTGTTTTCTGTTTTCTGTTCATTTGACAATGATTTTGCAGAAAAATAGAAATGATTTCAATGATTTGACATTTACCTGAACAACAAAACAAAACAAAAAACAATCCTGACACCTGTACTGACACTTGATGAGGATGATAAACAATCAAAAAAACCAGACAAAATTTTTCCAAACAATCTTCTTATCAAATTTATAATACAAACCAAACAAACATTTTTGGTTAGTTTTCCATTTGTTTTTTCGTATTGATTATCTTTTGGTTGTTTTCCGTTATAATATATTGTGAGTTCATATCAAATCATTTGGTGTGTTTTGTATATATATACAAAAATCTCTCTCCCATGCTTTCTCTCGGTTTTCATGACCTGATATGTGTGTTGTATGTATGATTAGGTTCAAGTTATAATATCCAATATATGCTTGTAATGCATCTTCCTCACCCTCTCTCTCTTTTTCTCTCGACAAAAACGAAAAACGAAAAGAAAAAGAAAATTGTCGACGTTGACGTTTGTCCTAATGTAACCTATGTACAGCAGCAGCAGCAGCACAGACAGGAGCAGCTGATTTGTTTTTGTTTGCAAAACCAAAATCCCATATTTCATTCGATTCAATAAGTTCCATAAAGAATTAAGTTTTGTCTTTCGATTTAAACGAAACATCGATTAATGAATGACGTAAGTTTGTTTTTTTGTGAATGAAATTTCAAACATGTTTTTGAGAAATATTGCATTTCTCTGTAACAAAATCTAAATTTTGCGTGCGTAGTTTTTGGAATTTTCTAAATGTTTTTTTTTTGTTTCCCACTGTGTGTGTGTGTGTGTTTATGTCGTGTTCATTCCTGTCATCGCCCTGATCATCATCAGTTCATAATCATCATGTTTCTTAATATAGAGAACATTCTTTTAAAAGAATGTTACTGCTGCCATCAACCTTGTTGTTTTTTCCTATCAATTTTTACACTTGAAAAAAAACTCCCACACCAACACACAGAGGGAGAGAGAAATGTACTTTTTTTAACGATGATGATGATGACAAACATTTATCATTTTGCTCCATAGACAAATACAGAGAGAGAGAGAGAGAAACGTAACGACCAATAAAAAAAGAGAAGAGAGAACAAAATTCTGTCATAAATCACATGATTACATCATCATCCAATAATCAAATTCATGACATTTTTCTTTTCTTCTATGGCTGCCCATTTTTTCATCCAATTATGCTACACACAATTTTTCGTTTTCTGGTAAAGAAATTTGAAACTGTTGCATTCAATTTGAACACAAAAGAAAATTATTGCGAAAAAAAAACTTTTCATTCATTCATTCGCTTGCTTTTTTTCATTGTCAATCAATTCTTTGGAAAAAAAACAAATTCTTCGATATGAAATTCTGTTTGTTTGGAGGAGAGGGGGAATCCAAAAATTATTATTAATAATAATAATTTGTCGTCTTTGTTCAATTCATTTCATTGATTCTGTTTTTGGATTCTTTCTATGATTCGAATGAATTTTTTTTTTGATTCTTTATTTGCACAAAATCTTTCATTTTCAAATCATTATTTCTTCATCATTTTCTTCTCTTATTCACTGCACCCACTTATTAATTCCAAACAATTTTTTTTTCTCGTTACTAAGGAGGTGTATGAGAAATTCTTGTTTTTTGTTTCCACACTAAGATCTGTTTGTTCGTTGTGTTTGTTTGCTGTGTGTGCTGTAATGTACTTTTTTTTTTGTTTCACTGAACGACGATAATAATAACGAGAATCAGAAAGAATTATTCTAGGTTGTGTAGGTTGTGTTGTTTAGATAGGTAGATATACTTTCAGGAATTTCATGATGAAAAAAAGTACATTTTTAGTTTCGTTTTCACTGAAAAAAAAATTTCGTAATTCACATTTGTCGTTGTTTTGTCATGCGAATAAATTCTCAACCAAAAAAATAAGAATTTCGCTTTTTCGTTCTCATCAAAAAACCAATTCTAAAATAAAACGAAAATAAAAAAATGAATTGAATGTTTGAAATACCCAGAAATCTTTCTCTCTCTCTCTGTCTTAAATCAGTAATCATTTGTCAATCAAAAATCAAAAAACTTATCATTTTTTATGAAAGTGTGGACAACAACAACACTTTTACTTTTCAAAAATTTCATTTAAAAAAACGAATCTTTTTTTTTATCAATAAATAAAAATCTGATATGACTGAATAGTTTTTCTCTTCAAAATGATATTCTTATTCTCAATGTCATTCTGTTCATCATCCAAAAAGTCCCCACACTATGTTGTTGTTGTTGGATAAAAACATCATCATGATAATCGACGACAACAACAAATATTTGAAAAGGTATTTGATGATACTGTTGAAAGAAATGTGTGTTTGCGTGTGTGTGGTTTATGGTTATCATCATCATCATCATCATCGCTTATCCCCACTTATCACATCACTTTTTTTTGTTTTTGGATTTTTTGATTTTGCTCGTTGATAAAAAATAAAAAATAACTAATGTTGTCGTTCAATGATCGATTTATAACATCATATCAAAGTATCAATGATGTACAATTAGCAGCTTTTCTTTTCTTTTTAAAATTTTGTTTAGCTGATAATTTATATAATGATAAATTTTGTAATCTTTTTTTTTCTCAATATTTTCGTTTCGTTTATATTTTTTTCTCCACAGCAACAGGTTATCCATTCATTCATTCTGGTTTTGTTTTGTTTTTCTTTTTTAAAAAAAAATCCATAATAAATGATTATAAATTGTGAAAATAATGTGATTAAATTCTGAAAAAAATACAAAAATGTCGGGTATACAATTTTCTCAGGTTTGTTTGTTGAATGAATAAATGTTGTTTTTATATTCAAATTTTGACTTCTTTTTTTTGATTTTTGAAAAAATTAGCAACAAAAAGAAGATTTTTTGGAAAAAACATTTACCGAATATATTGGTTGTCATCCAACATATACAATACCATTAATACGTGCACATAATTTTATAATGCGTGATATTGGTCCAATAAATACAACCATACGATATTATATTGCAATAATGGCTGCATCAAGACATCGTTGTACATTTTTAGTACAATTTTTACGTGAACAATTTTTAAAAATTGGTGGTGATTCAGAATGGCTGAAAGGATTAGAATATGCGCCGATAAAATTACAATCTTTAAATATGATTAATAAAATTCTTGCACATCAACCATGGTTATTAAAAACAACACATATTCAATTATTATTTGGTCAGGTAAATAAAGAAGAATTTTATATTTTATAATTGGAAATTGTAACGATAACTTATTATTATTTTTCTTTCTAATCATATCAGAGTTTAACAAAAAATATAAATTCATGGACATTACCGGAATTAACACATGCAATAATAATAATGGCACATTTTCATTCACTTTGTTCATTATCATTTGGTTGTCGTTTTGGTTATGAACCACCTGAATTTAATGTTGATGAAGATGGTGGTGGTAGTGGTGGTGGTGCTGGTGGTGGTGGTTGTGATTATGAAGAAATTGAAATTGAAGAATTACGTTTTGATAATAATAATTGTAATAATAATAATAATAATGGTAATATAATAAAAAAAATAGTTAAACGTAGTCCAGCATCACGTTTAATTGTTGAACGTTGTAGACAATTAGAACAAGAAGATGCAAATTTAGCTAAAATAATGAATTCATTTACATTGGCAACAGCAAATATAAAAAGTGGAAAACATCGTAATCAAAAACAACAAAATAATAATAATAATAAATATAGAAATAAAAAACATAACGGTAATAATAATAATGGTGATGATAAATCAACAACAACAACAACAACAATGACAACAACAACAACAACAACAACAACAACATTATCATCATCACCTAATTCAGATGGATCAATAAAATCCGAATCATCAACCAATGATAATTCATCATCATCACCATCACCAGATAATGATGAATTTCACCCGAATACATGGTCAGATGATGAATGGAAAAAATATAATTTTAATATCTTTATTGATGATCCGGAATTTTGTTATATTGATTTTGCAAAACGTGGTCGTACAACTGATACATCAACATATCGTATACAAGATTATCAATGGGATGATCAAGGTTATAGTCTTTCTAATTATCTTTTTCCTGATATTGCTAGTTTTTTAGATGAAAAATTTAAAGTTGGTTATAATTTAACATATTATACGTAAGTTAATCTATCCAGTTGATTATTCTTTTAATTTTTTTTCTTAATTTATCAACAGACTTGGTCCAAAAACCAATATTGATACATCACCATTTCGTCGTGCTGTTTGGAATTATATACAAAGTATATATGGTATACGACATGATGATTATAATTATCGTGAAGTAAATATTTTATTAGAACGACAACTAAAATGTTATATAAAACATTTAGCTTGTTTTCCTGAATTAACACCTAAACATGATTTTCGTTCAGTAATGAAAGGTTTTCGTTCATCCGAAAAAGTTCATGTTATTATTATGGTTGCTGAAGCACGTTTACAAGCAGAAATTTTATATGCAATGCGTACTTTAATGGAATATATGAAATTATCTGCTTAAATTATTGAATCGTTTGATCGATCGCCATATTGTTTTAATTGTTCTCATTTAACATTACACACTGTCATTATCTCTCTCTTTCTCTTGATTTTGTGATATATTTTTTAAAACATAATGATTTTGTTGTTGTTCTATTTTTAAAATAATTCAATAATAAGATGTAATACTAATTATAATTATGCTTGATTTGTAATTTAAAAAAATAAAATAAAATAAAATATTTTTCAACGCCATCTATCGATTAGTAATAAATTATTCGTTTGTTTTTTTTTGTTTCAATATCCAAACGATAGATGACGCTATTAGTTCCATTATATTTAATTTTTAAAATTAGCATCATGGTCATCCACTTTTTTTCGGATTCATCAAACTATCATCAATCAACCAATCCAAAAAAAGAAAAGAGAAAAGATAACCCAGAATAAATACAAAAAAAAATCCAAACAAACAAAAGAAATTTTCAAGATCAAAAATGAGCTTTTTTGGTTCATTTATTTTTATTTTTTCATTTTTCTTTCGAACGACAATGACGACGATTTAATGCGACACGTGTCTAACATTTGGAACATTTGGAACATTAGAACATTAAGGGCATTTATAAAGAAACGAAAACAAAAACTAAAAATGTGAAAAAGAATTTCGTCAGAATCATTCGATTCTATCATCATTATCATCAACACTATTTGATAATGATGATGATGATCGGTGTTCAGTGTGTGTGTATCTAAGATATTTTCAAATGTTTGATTTGATGTTTAATACTTGATATTTATGATTACCCATATTAACCATGTTTATCATTATCATTATTATCATTTATGGAATCTTTTTTTTCATCGGATGATCATCATCATATAGGATGTGTATGTGTGTATTTTCTGTTTGTCATTTGAATTTTAGATATTTTAGATTTTTTCGATGCATTTAGTCCTTTAGTATATATGTCACATCATTTTCTGATTTTCAGCTATTTAACGCCGTCATGTCATTTTACCCGATTTTTTTTCTGTTGTTGTTGTTGTTGTTTTCATTTACATTCATTACAATAGCTGTCGTCAGTCAATGTAAAAAGTGTGCAGTGTTTGTATGTTTGGTGGATATCAATGTCTATCGTGTGCCCTCCCAACTTGTATATAAATGTTGTTGTCGATGTTGAGAGAATAAACGATCCAAAATGGAAAGAAAAAAATCGCTAGAAAATCACTGGTATACCAGCATTTAATGGCACGTGACTCATGAATGAATGAATAAAATGAATCCGATCAGCAAAAAGAAAAGAAAAAATCGCATTCATTCTGTTTGAAATGAATACGATGTGTGTGTGTGTGTTTGCATCTCATTTTTTTTTCTCTTTGAAAGGATAAATTTTTTTTTCTCCCTGAAAATTTACACTATTTACACACACACATAATCATCATTATTATTGTTGCGCAAGTTTTTTTTTTGGTCATTGGATTCTTCTTTAAACCAGCTATCAAACGATTCTCTATCTATCTTTCTATGTTGTTGTTGTTGTTAAATAGAAGCACATGGCATTGTTTTTCACCCCCCACTCGATTCTTTAGACTTTATATTTTCCCCTTCATTCCCCCCTCTCTCTCTCTCTTCCTTTCATCATTTTACTTGTCAACCTTATCTATTTGAAACCAGAAAATCACCCAGCAACCAAAAAAAAAGTCTAGAAAATTGTTCAAGTTTGAATTGTGAATTGAACGAATGAATGAAAATGAATGAAAATGAAACAATAAACACACCAAACACCAACCAAACAGTAATTTTCGTTCATGTTTGAATTCAAACTTCACCATCACCATCATTACATTGAAAAAAAACAAAAGAATTGAAAGAAAGAAAATGTATATTTTTTTTATTACATAAAATTAATGTTATCCCAAAAAATGTTTTTTTTTGTATGACTATGTGGTGGTGGTAATATAGTTTCCAAAAAAAAACCAGAATGAAAAAAATTATGATTCAGTCATCAATCTCCCTCTCACATACACATACACAAACATAGAATGCAAAATGCAATTCAGGGAGCCAGAGAAAAATATAGAATTCATTGGTTAATGTCAGTGTTGTTGTTGTTGTTGTTGTTGTTGTCCATCATTTATTTTGCTGTGTTGCACACAATATAGTAACATGGTCAGCAAAATGGACAACATTAAACTGACCATCCATCCATCTAAATGTATCTTAACTTTATTTTAGTCATTTTGGTAACTATGTATATAGTCATCATCATCATCATTGACTGAATGTTTTGATTCCATAATTTCGTTTTTTTTAATGTTTCATGGATAGACTAAAAAAAAAATTTGTATTCATTCGATAGTGATGGTGGTGGATATCGATACTATCGTTTATATGTATGTATATAATATTACGGAAATAATGTTATGTCATTTGTGGCTGTTATTTGATAGGTTTTTTTTCACTGATTTCAAAAAAAAGAAAAGAAATTATTTTCATTTGCCTTCTTTTTTTTTTGTTGTTCATTTGTTTCGTTCGGTTATAAATATATGTCACGTGTTTTGTATTTCCGTTTAGATATAGGTTTAGTTTTTTTTTCTGATGATGATGATGGAAATGGTTACATTTTTTTTCCTTGCAAAGCTTATTTCCGTTTTCACACACACACAAACACAAACACACATCACATAATCGACTTAGTTTCTTCTGGAAAAAAAATTCTTATTCATTTTTGAAGTGTGAGTGAGTGGGATCGAAATAGGATTTCAGAAATCGAGAAAGAAGAAAACACGTTTTCTATGGTTTCCGGTTTTGTTTTTTTTTTTGCTACATAATCTACATTTTGTTGTTGTTGTTGTTGTTAGGTAATAAGATTCTTTTTTTTTCATATAACTAAAAGAACATTCTTTTAGGTCGAAATAGTAGCCCAAAATTGAACATTTATACCAGCTATAATAATAGCAACAATGAAGTAAAAATAGCCCCGGTTTATTACCCCGAATCGAATGAAATTGTATCAATCAAAATTTTTTTTTTGTTTTGTTTTTGTTTTGAAACAGAAAAACTTGTTGGAAATAATAAACACGTGACATATATCGAAACGAACCAGTTGACGTGTGTGTGTGTGTGTATGTAAAGCAGTGAAATCATCAATGTAAACAAAGAAAGAATGAATGAATGAAAAAAATAGAGTAATCAAAAAAAAAACATTTTTTTCCGATTCACATGTGAAATGTTTTGGGTAGTAATAGTCGCTGTAGTAGTAAGTAGTTAATAAAACTTTGATGAAATTAAATGGTTAATAATCAAATTCATTAGTTATGGACCAAAAATATTTTAATGATGATTGGTGGTGGTGAAAATATCGTTTAGCTCTGGCCAAACTTGAACGATTTTCAACCAATTCTTTGCCTTTGTTTTTTGATTGATGATTTTGTTTCTCTCTATGTGTTTTTGCTTGTTTAACGATGATGACACGTGATGACAATTTATTTTGCTCTTTTCATTTTCTCTCGAAACGCTATGAATATTTATCATTTTCAATCGATAAAATTCATGGATTTTTCTTTCTGCTTTTTGTTTTTCTTTTCCGTAACAACATAAAATGTCAAAAAACATAAAACATTTTATGTTTAACATTTTTGTTTTTTTAAAATGTTTGTATTTTGGATGTTTTGATTACAAATGTTTAAATATTTACTTAAAATATTAAATAATAAATTGGAAATAAATATTTTGAAAATTACAAATTGAAAAAAAAAACATAAAATTTACAACTTTTCTCACACGTACGCGCACGCATTATTACTAACACTGAATGACACTGACTGACTGACTGAAAAAAAAACGATTATATAATAACCGAAATAAAGCATCGAAAGTGAAAGAAAATTGTTCAATTAACCATTCCATACGACAACAACAACGAGAAATAAATTATAAGGGAATCCAAACAATTTTTCCATGTGAAATTTGCTTTCTCTGAAGAATATATATCCACCGAAAATCCTGATGAATCCTGGTATGATTTTTCTTCTTTTTTGGCCAGGATATTGAATGAATCAGGATCTTCTTTCAGTACATATACACAGAAATCATTCATTCATTCATTGAGTCAGTCAGTCAGTCAGTCAGTCAAATAGTCATAACGTCGTTGTCGTTGTTTAAATTGGATAAATAAAAAAAAATTTTCGTGGATGAATAAAGCCACCATAATCAATTGATGCGAATATAATCGGATAGTTTTGATGGCTAGCACGTTATTATTGTTTGAGATTTTTCTTTTTATTTGCTTGTTGTCGTTGGGATGAAATCCATCCACACTCACATATAACAAACGCGTTAAAAGTCACAAAGACAATGTTTCGTATATGAATGAAAAAACGTATGGAAATTTTTCTTTGATTTTTCTAACCAGAAAAAATCAAATAAGAATTATCGATTCTTTGAGAAATGAACAACCAAAAAAATTCAAATTCAAAATCTGGAATCAGATCAGGAATCAGCTTAACTTTTTGTTGTTTTGATCATGTGTGTGTGTGTGTGTGGGCTTTGTAATCAGGGCTTTTCATTTCTTTCTTTTCTGGCTTGCTAATAAACTCTGTGATTCTAGATAAGGCAACCAAAAAAAAAACGAGCGAAAAAATCGGACGAAAATAATCACTGATCATCATCCATTGATGATTATGATCATCATCATATCGGTAAATAACTGGTGTGTGTGATGTGTGTGACACGCGTTTTTTCAAACTTCCACATCAACGAATGATATAGCCAATTCAATTCACACAACTTAAACTTATGATACATACACACACGTGTTTTGTTCACTTTTCTTGTTTTGTTTCCATTGACACCTTTCAAATTCTCATTTTCATCATCATCTGAAATAGGAAAAAACATAACAATATCGACAGGCACGCGATCTGTTTGTGTGTTTGTTTTATTCGTTGTTGTTTTTGTTGTTGCAAATTCTGGGTGTTTTCATCATTAAAAAATGAATGAATGAAGAAGATTTTTTCATTTGAAGTTTTTGTTGTTGATTCGAAAATTTATTCATAATGTTTTTTCAGATCAATTTTATGGAGGGTTTTCTTTTGACATGCGTGCGTCTCGTTTGAAAAAAAAACATCAAAAAAATCTTTTGAATTTTAAAATTTTTTT